CCCGCCCCTCCCGCTCCGCCTGACTCGCGCGCTCGCGCGCGGCCTCCCCCCCTTCCCCCTTGCGCGAGCACTCCGCGGGGCAAGCGGGACCGATCGATGCCGAGGGGTTGCGAGATCTCGCGCGGTTTCGATCTTCGCGGAAGGGAGCGCTCGCGCCTGGCTTCAGCGCCTCCTCCTCCTCCTTTCTTCTATTTTTTTTCTTTTCACGCAAGCGCGTTCGGGCCGCTCAGACTCCTCCTCTCTAGACGTTTCCTCTAACGACGACGACGACGACGCCCCCGCCCGCTCGTTTCACTCTGGAATGACGCCCGCTCTCCCCAATGAAAACGGAGACGAGAAGATAACCAATCCCAAGCGGGGGAGCGCCGAAGAAGGCGGGGTTCCTGGGTTTAAAATGGGAAGGCGCCGGAAATGGCGGGCAGTTTTGGTGGCGGAGAGGGGAGGTCGATTTCACTTGAGGGAAAGCAGGTGTGGGAAGTTGTGAAAGAAAATAAACGGGCAGTTTAAAATATATGCGGTCGTATGATATGTGGCTTTTCGAGCTCCAGAGACATTGGAACCATTTTCAACCTAAGAAAGCCCATACATTTTTTTATTTACACCCCCCCCCCCGTGCATATCCTGCTCAGCAGGCATTCTTTGTGCATTGCAACTATAGTGACCAATTTTCAGTCCCCTTTTCTGTGGAGGGGGTTAAGGCTGAAATCCAAGCCCGGTTCAGGCGGGAATAAATTTAATTTGCTTCCACCAGCATCAACTCTGAGCAAACGTGCAGAGCGTCCTGTTGTTACTAGCAAGAATTAAGAAGGTTAGGAGACCTTTCCAACTTGATCGGTGTTCTTCACAGAACGCAAATGGCGCAAAAAATGTTGGGATACATCTGAACCGCTGGAAAATGAAAATGGGCCATATTTGCACAACAAACCACATTTGAAGGAGGATTTTGAACAACCTCAACAGAGATGGAATTTTAACACATGCAGGTCTGGTTGGAATTTGGATGGGAGACCACCAGGAACTCATATGTCAGAAACCTAACTTGAGAAGTTGAAAAAGCATCTGGGAAAAGATGGCAAGCCGCTCCTCTATGGTTGTTGAGAACAGAACATGGATATATCCATCATGTCTACCAAGAGTCAAGTCTGATTTACAAGAGACTTTACTCGTCACAGCTGATGTGGAATCCTAAAGTGTAGCTTGCAAACCATGATACAAACAATAGTTGCATTTGCAACGAGGCGAAGTCCAACCGCAGTTAAAACGATTAAACCGAAACAAATGTCACTATGAAATGAACACTATAAGATCAATATACATCGCGACACTTTTTACAAGCACCATATGAATAACACTTATATCCTGTCATGTGACTTTATTAATACGATGGACAAGAAGATAGCCCTTCCCTCTAATCTGGATTGATTAGGGTTGATATGTGCCATCAAGTCCGTGTTGACTCTTGTGGTTGCTTAGATAGACCTCCGTGATGATCTGTCCCCAACCTTCAGATCTTCCAACGATGCACTCATCGCTGTTGCAACTGAGTCCATCCCGCTTGCTGCTGGTCATTCTCTTCTTCTCTTCCAGCATCAGAGCCTTCTCCAGAGAGCTAGATCTTCACATCATGTGTCTGAAGGAGGATAATTTGAGCCTGGCCAAGTATGCCTTGAGTAAGAACTCTGGGTTGGTTTTTTCAAGTGATCTATTTGTGTGTTTTCTTGGTATTCTCAGGAGTCTTCTCCAGCACCAAAGTTCAAAGGCGTCAATACTCTTCCTCTCTTGCTTCTTCAAAGTCCAGCCTTTGTTTCCATAGAGTGTCTGTGCAAGACCATGGCTTGCACGATTCTGCTCTTGGTAGGTATAGACACATCACGGCGTCTGAATATCTTTTCCAAGGCCTTCATTGCTACTCTTCGCCATCTATCACACCAAATAGAACAATCCTATTAATAATTATAGTAATAATACAATAAAGATATTATTAAGAAGGAGAAAAAGAAAAAATACAGCGGTGGGCTTGTTGTCTTTCGATTTTCTTCTGATTTATTTGGTTCTGGGTGCTTGCTGTGTTCATGTTTTAGTTCCATTTTTTTAAAATGCTTCAATTGCAAGCCACCCAGAATCACTTTTATGAGTTGGGCAGCCATATAAATCAAATGATCATCCATCCATCGCTTTCACCCATCAGGCTCATTGTTTACCGAACAAGCAAACCCCATTTGGGCTTAACGGTTGCATGAAGCCACGCCACGTGGATGATTGCAATAGGAGTTTTGCCCCCTGGGCATCCAATTGTGCTTTCCAGCAGGAGTCAAAAATATGGGATGGTCTGGTGTGCAAAGGCGTACCAACCATGGGATGTAATACTAAGCTGAGCCACAAGATGACTCTACAAGGCTGCTGCTTGTGGAAATGAAACTGAATGGCAGAAAATTAGAATGGGGCACTAGAAGGGTTCTTTTCTGAAAAGAAAAGGTGTATTTGCGTGAGATCCACCACAGGTTGCTTACGGACTTAGCAGGTGGATTCACACAACCTCCAAAACAGAATTAGTGTTAATTTTGGAGGAGGGAAGTTGTGTCAGTCTATGCTAGCCCCAAACCAGAAGGAATCTGGCAGGACCTTTCATTTGCAAACAGACAAAAAGTCCTCTGAGCATATAAAAACATTGCTCTGTCTTTCCTTTCCTTTCCTTTCCTTTCCTTTCCTTTCCTTTCCTTTCCTTTCCTTTCCTTTCCCATTCTTGGGCGGTCATATTTTTCTTACAAAGGGAGCAGAACTTAATCACCCAGCTTTTGCTACGAGCAGGAACGATGGCTGGTTTGTGACCTCGGCCAGCTTACGCAGATATGCCTCCCTTGCTTCTTAAATGCTTCACTTGAATATTAATATTTTAATTTCCACCCAGCATCGGTGTACTCAAGCACCCCATAGGCGGTTCTTTTATTATTCATTAGATTTACAAGATG